TAGTCTCTGAAAGCAAAAGGGTAAATGCATCTTCCAAAGTGGCAAGTCCAAAGGAAACCAGTGTGCTTCATGTTTGAGGATAATTACCACCACATTTCCATCGCGCTTTCACCATTACTTCAAGGTTTGTAAATAAAGGCTCATAGTTTAGCAAAGAAAATGAAGTTCAAAGTGAAGGAAAACTTCCATCTTCCTTGACTAGCTCTCATATGGTTCTCAGATTTCAAATCTGTGACCCTTCAGAAGAAGCAGTTCAACTGATTGTAGCTTCTATGAGGGTACAAAGTGAAAGACGAAACCTCTAAGATAATTAAGGTTTTAATCAGCAGTGAATAGATTTAATTCAACATTTCAACTATGCTTTGAAGCAAACAAATGATATGGCAGGAAACCTGGGTCTATTCCCCCCTCTGTCACTAACCACTTATATGATATTGGACAAGTCACTTAATTTCTTTGGGCCTTATCCATAAAAAAATAGGAGAGAGACTGATATCTTACTTGCCTACAAATAGGAGGCCGGACCATACACTCTCTTGAGGTCCTTGAAGCTCAGGGTTCTACGACTCCAAACAGCTGATGCAAGCAAGGGAGCAGAGGAATCGCTTAGACCTCTTAAGAGGTATTCATGATGAAATTGCCAGGAATCAATTTCAATTTTTTGTTAATTTTCTAAAGTAGCTTTTCTTGCCAGGCCAGACAAATTCAATATACTCAGCTAGAGAATCTAAGACATGTATAAGCTATCATTATTCTAAATTTCCTTTTGGCAAAGTGTCTACCTTAAGAAGCGTTTAGACTTTAGATGAAACTTCTTCTTAAGGAGGAGGAGGTGGTGAGAGAAGAGTCTTTGATTATTATAATGGAATCCAGCTGGCATAGACATAACAAACCTCCTCCTCTCCATCTAGAGCTGATATAGCAGTCAGTCCAGCTGACCACTGCCAGCCCAGCACTCTGGCTGTAATGCTAAATGATGGTGGTTTGATTAATAATCAGCCTGGTATTAATGGCCAGCAAGGATTCCATGTCAGCGATTTATAAGAGCTCAGTTACTCATAACATGTTGGAGCATCACAGTGCTGATAAAGTGGGCTATCTCCTTTCCTAAGAGGATGGCATTTTCTTCTGCTAGTAGGTGGTCTAGAACGAGGACTTTAGTTCTGTTTAGTTTAGCTTAGTTCCACATCTTTTTCTATACAGAGAGTGTATTGCTTCAATCTAAAACCCCCCAAATCCTACGACATGTATCCTATAAATACGACAACTTCTGTATCTTGATTAGAATTACATGGGGCTGGCCTCGTGGCCGAGTGGTTAAGTTCGCGAGCTCCGCTTCGGTGGCCCAGGGTTTCGTCAGTTCGGATCCTGGGTGCAGACATGGCACTGCTCATCAAGCCATGCTGAGGTGGCATCCCACATGCCACAACTTGAAGGACCCACAACTAAAAAATGTGCAATGATGTACCGGGGAGCTTTGGGGAGAAAAAGGAAAAATTAAAAATCTTAAAAAAAAATTCTTTGGGGAAAAAAAAGAATTACAAAAGGAACTTGGAGGTCATTAACCAGTAGGGAAATTTATTCCAGTATTACATAGCATATGGACAAACTGCAAACAACTTAAATGTCTCAAAATTGCAGATTTGTTATGGTGCAACCACAAGACAAAACTAGGCAGTCAATAAGCGTGTTGCTTTGTCAATATAATTTGAGGAAGTGTTACAATATAATATTAAGTTTTAAAAAAAGCAGAATATGAAAATTTATACACTATAATGCCAACCATGTAAGATTAAAGATAGATGGAGAGATGGAGAGAGAAAAAGAAAAACCTATAAGAACATATTCCAAAATGTTAACAGTGGTTATCTCTAGGAACTAAGATTACAGTAGTTTAAATTTTCTTCCTCATCCTTTTCTATATTCTTGGACTCTCTAGAATGAGATTGCATTATTTTTAAAACTAGAAAACAAACTTTTAAAAAGTCATTTCATCAAAGTAAAGTGAATTTATTTTATGGAACATCCCCTAGTCTACAGTAAATATATTACTTAAAATGAAAAAGGATATCCTACCCAGACAGAAGCCCGAGAGAAGAACACCAGGACCAATATAATGACAAAATACCAAAGCAGGAAGCTCCCTATCGTCCCGCAAGAGTCATCCCTCCGGCACTCATAATCTTGATTTGGAATGGTAAAGCTTAAAGGCATGGGGGGAGGATCCACCTCCCAAAATAAGGAAAAAAGGTCTCCCATGATGGCTTCTTGTTTCAAAAATAAAACATGCTCAAGGGATGAAGGTGACTGGGAAGAACTTCACCTGATGTGTATGACAACTTCCTTGGCAACCTATTATGACATACACGTTAGTGACTGCGACAGGAACTGACAAACGCTGGCTGTCTAAGTTTTTGGACCTTTTATCTAAATTACTTCTATGAAAGTTTACAGTATTTCCTCCATACCTTAACAGATTAATGCCATAGTGCATTTTGCTTTAATCTTTTTTTGTGAAACTTGTATATACTGTATTTTCTTCCCATACAATATTTTAATGTTGTTAAAATCTAAGTCTTTGAGCTATCCATTCATCTTTTTTGTCTCTTTCACATGTATCATATCATTGTAAATTAACATACACAGTTCTAATGTGTTATAGATTGAATTGTGTTCCCCATAATTCATATTTTCAAGCCCTAACCCCCAATTTGACTATAATTGGAGATAAGGCCTTTAAAGAGGTAGTTAAGGTTAAATGAGGTCATAAGAATGGGGCCCTAATCCAACATGACCCGTGTCCTTATAAGAAGAGCAAGAGACATCAGGGATGTGGGAGCACAGAAAAAAAGGCCACAGGAGCACACAGAGAGCCATCTGCAAGCCAAGGGAGGCGAGCCCCAGGAGAACCCAATCCTGCTGCCACCTTGATCTTAGGACTTCCAACCTCCAAAACTGTTTAAAAATTACTCTCTGTTGTTTAAACCACGCAGTCTGCTGTATTTTGTTATGGCAACTCTAGCAAACTAATACCTAATGCCAACGATATATCTAATTTGGGCAGGAGTGGTGGTCCTTTTTAAGCCTTTAATAAATGCGCAGTAATTTACAGATTATATTAGGAGGGAAAATATAGATGTGTCTGTTGTGAATTACATCCGATGTATACAGTATCTTTGTAGGAAAGAGTCAGATACGGTGGGGAGGAACCCTGTGTTCTAACTTTGACTGTACATCGAACCCTTTCACTTCGAACAATTTTCGAGTTAGTTTCTCTCTAAATCTAAAACTAGAGCAAAACACCCTTGCTGCTAAGGCAATTTAAAGATTCTAAAAATCCCACTTTAAAAAAAAACCTGTTAGATCTTTAAGAGCATAGCATACCTGCAGATTTTCATTATTATGCAATACTGATGTGGATTAAGGCTGCCCCAGCTAGAGAAGCCCAAGGTGACCTGGCCTACATGCCAAACTATATGACCCAGTGGACTTTTTTTTATGGTATGAGTTAGGACTGCCCCAGGGAGAGAAGCCCAGGTCATCCTCACCTGCATGCCGATCTATATGGCCAGATTCGTATCTAAAGTTATATGACCGCCCAATAACCAGACCCCATCTGCACTGAAATCATTTAATGACTTTTTACATCATCTTTTCTTTTTCCAGTAAAAATAAGTCACGTACCCATGCCTTATAAAATTAGCCCTAACCCTCAACTCAGGGCAGCAGGAGCTCTGACTGCCCACGGGTCCTGTCCCCATGCCTACAGCTCTTCACTGCCCATGGGTCCTGTCCCCATGCAGCAGCAGCAGAAGCTCTGACTGCCCATGGGTCCTGTCCCCATGCTATTCCACACTATTCCCTAAATAAAAGAGCACTACTGCCAGATCTTGAGAGTTCAAGAAATTTTTCTTTCGACTTCTCGGCTCACCGACCCCGCATCAATACTACAAAGAAATTTCATTTTCTTCTACTTTACCTTAGGAGCTTTTTAGGAAACATTTTGGTCATTGGGATGCACATGATGTAACAACTCACTAGCTTATTATGACACAGCAGATGTTTTTATTAGGGGCACACTTCTCCGCATCCCCAAGGGCAAGTCCCCAGGCCCTGCGCATCCTGGCCCTTGGCCCTCTGCCTTAGGCTCGCGTCGCCTCCTCCAGGAAGCTCGCGGGGAGGCCGGGCTGGCCCCTCGTGCACCTGCGGGCCGCCCGGGCTGATCCTCCAGGCAGCGGCCTGGGAGGTCTACTTTTACACCCCCGCGTGAGGCTCAGTGACACATCATGGGCGTTTGTATTTGTTCAGTAAAACCAGACTGAACTCCCTGATGAACCTTTTTCCTCAGGATAAGGAGTTCTTCCAAAGAATATGCAGGAAAAGTAAAAAAAGGGTTTTTTTTTTTAACCTCAAAACCACTAGCAACTTTAACGAGACACATTTCGGTTTTTCTTGTTACTGCTGCAGCCTTATTACGAGGATATTTAAGAATTTTCATCGAGTCAGGACCGTTGCTTTTCTGTTATTGTTTTGTTTACCACAGAGGTGTGAGAAATGCTTTGTCATTGCTGACGGTATCTGGACACGTTACCTCGTACTGTGTCCTACAATCAGCCACCCTACTCAATCAAATCTGCTTAAAAATGAGTCCATAAATGCCCTAAGAAAGCTAAAATTATATTAATATACAGAAATTCAGTTTGTTATAATTATTACTTTTTACTGCGGGTTCAGAACCTCGTCTGAATTTTTGCTGCTCAGCCTTCTCCACGCAGCTGAGGGGGGAGCCACAAATCCGAGAGCTGTTTCCTTGGTAACGCTCCAAGACTCCGGCCCTTCCCCCACCCCCTTTTTCTCGCGAGAGGAGACAGTCCCGTTCTTCCGGTAACTGTAACCCCCCGCAAGCCAAATGCCTTCGACTTAGCGCTCGGCTTTGCGCATGTGCAGTAAAGAGTGGCGCGAGCAGGCGGCTTCCGGCTGAAGAACATGGTGCGTTTTCGGGGTCATCTTTGTGCTTCCTGGACGCGGCGTTCACGCGTGTCGTGGGAGTTTCGCGCCTGCGGATCCGCAAAGGGTTCAGACACAGGGGGATGTGGGCACGCATCCCACCACCCCTAGTGAGGGAGGAAAGAAGCAATAGGGCTTGCTAAAGTTTGTGCCGGGAGAGCCAGGGAGGGAAGCTCTCCAGACTGGAGAGTTTGGAGTCGCGGGCTGGGTGGCGGGAAGGGTACTGCACTGTTCTCTGTGGGATACAGCTCCATATGGCTGGAACAGGTCTTACCCTTGTCTGCAAGAGATGAGGCTTAGCAAACAAAGGAAATAGAAATCCCAGGGTGGACGGAAGCAGAATGCACATTGTTCCCACTCGCCCTCATCCCCTTCACACCATGAGTACTGGCCCTTCTAAAACTTAAATCCCTATCCTTCCTCAGCAACACAAAACAGTGCAGACTTCTTTAAGATCCTAGGCAGTTAATGGCTTCCGAGGATGTGGGAGGAGTCTTTACTGGCTTTTAGCTTATATGGAATATTTTCTCCCATAATTTGGCATTTTGAGTTTGTTAAGTTAGCGTTTGGGCTAGTCCTTGGGACAGTCTCCAAAAACGCAATGCAGAGTAACCGCGGACATTATCACCCACCCTTAGATTACAAAATAAGACATTTTTATTTATTGGAAGTATTAAATTGTTCTCTGAAGTGACCAGCCAGTTTTCCCTTGCTTAGAGGAGGGTGCCAATGAAGTGATAATTTAGGGTTCCCTTTTCATATGCTAATAGTAAAATGTAGACAGTTTTGGAAAGACATTTTAAAGATGAGGAAAATGTGCAATTGTTATTTACCGTTATAAAGGACACAAGTTTGATTTCTTAAATGGAGAAGTAGTTTCTTTTGATTAATTCTTGTGCTTTTTGTTTTTTGAATAGATGCAAGGGGAGCCAAACCCTAGTGCTTCCCTTATTGACAGAACCATCAAGATGAGAAAAGAAACAGAAGCTAGGAAAGTGGTTTTAGCCTGGGGACTCCTAAATGTATCTATGGCTGGAATGATATATACTGAAATGTAAGTTAATCAGCCAAAAAAATAAATAAAACTTGAAGAGGCCAATGGTTGGTTCCACAGGTTTTTGTGTGTGTTTGATTTTTGGTGTGTTTTTTTTTTTTTAAGATATTGAAAGCCTTTTTAATTTTTTTAGGACTGGAAAATTGATTAGTTCATATTATAATGTGACATACTGGCCTCTCTGGTATATTGGTAAGTAATTAATTTTCACGGTGATTTAGATTTACTACCAATGCAAACCTGCATTTACGTTTAATTCAACTTAGTATTCACTCCTTCATTCAACAAATATTTGAGTGCTTGCTATGTTCTAAAAACTGGGAATGCAGCAGTAAGGGAACAAGGTCCCTGCTCTCATGGAAGGAACGTTCTAGTAGGGGAGACAATCAAATTAATAAACAAATAAAATTCTGAATAATTATGAGTTCTGTGAAGAAAAATAAAGTTTGAGGGTGGTGAGATTTATATTTGTTACTCTCCCTGAAATGCCTTCCCTACTCTACCTTTTCACCATCAAGACCAATCAGGTTACTCCACTGATGCCTCCCTCAGTTTCCTGGTTCCTTCCTTTTCTCTGTCTACTGCTGTCTGCTCTTCAGTAGTCCTTGGGTGTAAAGAGTCCTTATGGCTGTTAAAGTGAATTCCATAGTGTAATACACATTAATCTAAAGGCTGTGATAGGGACGTGGTGTGGAAGTGGAAGAGCAAGAGTTTTGGAATCTGCATACCTCAGAATTGTGGCTTCAATACCTAGCTGTATGCTCTTGCAAAAGTCACTTGACTTCTCTACAGTTGTTGACTGATCTTTTTAACATGACGGTGAAAACGTTTATTCTACAAGGTGGTAAGGATTAGTGATAATATTTTGAAACTCACTATTAAATGCCGTACACATAACAGACATTCATTAGTTGGTAACTGTTACGAGGAATAAGAAGATAGTTTTCAGTTTTGTTGTTAATTTGCTAAAGGAGGAAGAGTTTTGTTTTCCCTCTTTAAATGTTTAAATAAAAAAAAATTATTCTCTTCCAGAGCTTGCCCTTGCATCTCTCTTCAGCCTAAACGCCTTATTTGATTTTTGGAGATATTTCAAATATACTGTGGCACCAACAAGTCTGGTTGTTAGCCCTGGACAGCAAACACTTTTAGGTTTGAAAACAGCTGGTAAGTGTTTTACATCTTTTGCAAAAGTAAGCGAAAGGTTGGTGATAAATCTTTTTCAATTTAATTTTCCCTTTTCATAGACTCAGCTGGAAGGGACTTCTAAGGCCATCTGGCTGAACTATATTAAACAAGTCTACAGTAAATTATCTGAAGACCAATGATTATCATTCCTATTTATATAAATTGAATGGAACTAACTGTTCAACAGCTTTCTGAAAGTTTGTTCCGTGGTTTAATTACAATTAAAATTAAATGTCGAACTCTTGGCTGCGCTGAAGCTAATTTTTTATTTTGAACTCTATGGAAATGGTAAACAACTTATTTGTATGCTTTGGTAATTTAATAACCAAGTCACTTTATTACTTACTTTTTTCTTGAAGAAAAAGGTTGGGTTCATTAAATCTGTTTTCATAGAAATTTTACTTATCCGTAGACATAAGTTATTTATTTACTTATATTTATTTATTTCTTCCTTCTAGTTGTGCAGACTACTCCTCCACATGATCTGGCGGCAACCCAGATCCCTCCCTGCCCACCTTCTCCTTCAATTCAGGGTCAGAGTGTGTTGAGTTACAGCCCATCCCGCTCACCCAGTACCAGCCCCAAGTTCACCACCAGCTGTATAACTGGATACAGCCCTCAGCTGCAAGGTCTGTCGTCAGGTGGCCGTGGTTCTTACAGTCCTGGAGTGACCTACTCGCCTGTCGGTGGTTATAATAAGGTAATGACTCTTTTCTCTTGGCCAGTCACTTTATTTTAGAATCGGGAGGTACCTTGAAAATCACGTTGTGAGTTAGAACTCCTCATTTTATCAGTGAGGGAACCGAGGAACAGTGGGTAACTGACTTGCCCAAATCACCCATTTAAGAGCCAAGAATAGAACCCAGATTTCCTGACACCTGTTCAGAAGTTCTTTATACCACATCTTAACATGAAAGAAAAGGGGCTGGCCCCGTGGCCGAGTGGTTAAGTTCACGCGCTCCGCTGCAGGCGGCCCAGTGTTTCGTTGGTTCGAATCCTGGGCACGGACATGGCACTGCTCATCAAACCACGCTGAGGCAGCGTCCCACATGCTACAACTAGAAGGACCCACAACACAGAATATGGAACTATGTACTGGGGGTCTTTGGGGAGAAAAAGGAAAAAATAAAATCTTTTAAAAAAAAAAATGAAAGAAAAAATTTAGCTTTTGTGAAGATAATGAACTGAGGTTCACCATCTAGGATTTTTTCTGCAGGGTCTGTAAAACAAGTTGAAACTATGATAATTTTTTTCTTTCATTTCTTTACTCATGTTTTCCCTCTTTCTTTGCTTGTTTATGTGAAACTTTTATATATCCTTATAGAATTTTCATGTTTTTCATCATGTTGGAGTATCTTCTAAGCTAAAAACTGGGATTGTCGTGGTTTGACTCTTGAGTGTGAACACTCTTCATGGGATGATTAGAAACCTGCATTCCCACTCCCACAGTAAAGTGGGCATTTGTTCTGATTTTTAGGCTTGATAGAAGCAAAATTGACAAATTTGAAATTATGACTCCTGCCTGAAGCATAAGACTATAAGAAGGGCCTTAAGAGGGGGATGATCACATTTTCAGCTGCTCTCACTAGTTAGATGAACATCTCTATAGTTACTAGTTAATGAGGAATGTCTGGCAGTGAAATTAATGCACTGTCCACCCTTACCTTACCCTTTTACGTAATCTTTCTTTGTAATGCAATTCTGTACCACTGGTTACCCAATAATAATTTTGGCAAGGAACAGAATTTAGAAAATTTTGTACAAGTTGAGGATGTGAATATATAGTGATAATTCATAACCTATAGGTAAATATGACTTTTGAAAATAGTTTGTTTTCGTGAGAAAGAAAGGAAAAAAAGTAGAAGAAAAATCACTCATAGTCTAATGGCTACTTAGTACTCATCTAGCGGATATACTGTAGTTTACTCTTGAATATTTACTTTCATTTATTAAAAACTGTTGTTAGTCTGCACTAAATAGCTCTGTAGATAAAGTTGATAACATTGCTTATCTTTTTTCTACTGGACTGTAACCTCCTTGAACACAAGATTATATGTTTTTATTCACCTTAGTTTCCTTAGCACAGTGTATGGAATATAGATGCTATGTAAGTCTTTGTTGAACCAAACTAATACCTTGGAAAAGTTAATGAAATGAATAATTATTTTTCTGGGGAAAAAATGCTAAAATCAACTAGGAAGTAGAAAACCTAAATAAGGAAGAAAATTTGAAAACTATTAATCAAATATATCTGCAGAATACATTAAGGCCCTAAAGTGTTACCATTGAGTTCTTTTAAATTTTCAAAAAGTAGTTACTTTCTGGGCTTTTGGTTATGGGAATTTTCAAACGTACGCAAAAATGAAGGGATTAGTACAGTGAACTCCTGTGTATCTATTACCCGTCTTCAACAGTTGTCAGCATTTTGCTAGTGTATGAACAGCTAATTCTGATCTGATAAAACAAGTTAAAGGCTTAAACTCTAGAGTTAAAAACAGGATTGAAATCTTGGCACTAGGGGCCTGCCCGGTGGCGCAGCGGTTAAGTGCACACATTCTCCTTTGGCAGCCCGGAGTTCACTGGTTCGGATCCCAGGTGCGGTCGTGGCACTGCTTCTCAAGCCATGCTGTGGTAGGTGTCCCATGTGTAAAGTAGAGGAAGATGGGCACGGATGTTAGCTCAGGGCCACTCTTCTTCAGCAAAAAGAGGAGGATTGGCAGCAGTTAGCTCAGGGCTAATCTTCCTTAAAAAAAAAAAATCTTGTATATCAAATAAACATATTTTAAAATAGTAATGCTGATGGACACACACCAAAATAGGTACTCCTATCTTTTCTCTTCGGATAGGAGTATAACTTAGTATAACATTTTCATTTAATAGAATGGGAATATGTATTAAAAATGTTCATATGCTTTGATCAAATCATTTCAGTTCTAGGAATCTCCTAAAGAAATCGTCAGAAATTCACCAAGATTTGTGTACAAAGATGTAAATCATAACATTGTTTACAGTAGCCAAAAGTTGTAGCTAATCCAAATGTCTAGAATAAGAGAATGTAAAAGCAAATTATGGCATATTTGTACAGTGAAATACTATACAGCCCAAGGAGCACGATTGCTAAGTCATATGGTAAGAGTATGTTTAGTTTTGTAAGAAACTGCTGAGCTGTCTTCCAAAGTGGCTGTACCATTCTGCATTCCCACCAGCAATGAAGGAGAGTTCCTGTTGCTCCACATCCTGCCAGCATTTGGTGTTGTCACTGTTCTGGATTTTGGCCTTTCTAATTGGTGTGTTCCTTTTTGAGAGTCAAAAACAAAAACAAAGATAAATTTCAATTAAAAATAAAATAAAATTCCTTTATTTTGTATAGTTGGCAAGCTACAGTCCTTCTCCTCCTTCTGCATACCCTACCACTGTTGGACCGGTGGAGAGCAGTGGATTGCGATCTCGCTACCGTTCTTCACCCACGGTGTATAACTCCCCTACCGACAAGGAGGACTACATGACAGACCTACGAACTTTGGATACTTTTCTTAGAAGTGAAGAAGAGAAACAGCATAGAGTTAAGCTGGGTGCGTATTTTTTTAAATTTACGTCTAATGTACATATTTTTGGTGTCACTTTACAGTATCCTTAACCCATTTATTTTCACTACTTTGATACCGTACATAAAATGTTTGCCTCTTTCTCTGACATAACTTGTGTGGCTTAGGAGAGAATCACATTTTTTTTTTATATTTTATGCATTTAGAGTTAAGTTCACCAAATTTAAGAAGTAAAATATAGCTGAACTAACTGAGACATCTTGAACCTTTCGTCTACATTAAGATTGAAAGCTTTTTCATATGATGTAATTTATAATTTCTCTTTAAAAATTGAGGCTTTCAGATGTTTGTGAAGCGGGGCATAGCGAGGCTTATTGAAGTGCTAGTTGTCTCTCTCAGCTGGTCCTTGGGAAGGCTGGGGTGGCGGGAAGGACGAGGGAGAGAGCATGGCTTTAGTAGAAGTGCTACTGTTTTTCAGAACATTTTTGAACTTTCTTTAGTTTACCTTGGGAAACAATGTTAGCAACTCTTAATCTATTTGGGGTGGATTTGATTATTACAAAGTCAATTGTTTGAAACCAAATTAGGTTATTGAGCGGAGTAATGATGTTTCCCCTGAGGAACGTTCGCAGAAAGCACATTAGGTGCTGAAGTGTGGCCACAGTGAGGAAACCAGTTATTGGACCATGGCTCTTTGTGTCACTTGAAATCTCTCCATTGATTTTTAATTTAATTTTGCCTGAAAATGCCACAAATGTCAAAGAAACAAATCAATATTATCTTGTTATTTGTTGATACATGCTTTTCCTTCTTTTTAAATTTTGAAATATTTCAAGTATACTGAAAATTGTGGAGTATAATACAAAGAACAACCTGTGTACCCTCTACATATTGTTGTCATATCTAGATATTTTCTAACTTCCATTTTGATTTTTTCTTTGACCTATAGGAGTTATTTAGATGTATTGTTATTATTGCTTGGAAGTATTATTGGTGATCGGTGGTGCTTTTAATTTTCAAACCTGTGAAATGAAAGGCTTGGTTATCTTTTTGTTTTTCCCTCCAAGTTAATTGTACTGTGGCTAGAGATTCTGATCTGTACCCTATTAATTTTTTGGTGTTTTTCGAGACTTAGTTTAGGCCTGCTATATGATCACTTTTTATAAATGGTTTGGTGTATTCAAAAGAATGCATAGTCTAAGTATTGGGCTCCATATTTGTTTATTGAGTCAAGCTTCTTGACAGTGTTCTTAAATTCTTTATCTTACTAATTTTTATCTGCTCGATGTTAGTTACTGAGAAAGTATGTTAAAAGCTCCCACTGATTATCTCCCATTAAATATCTCCTCATAATTCTGTCAAATGTTCTCCATATGTATGAGATTATGTTAAGTGCATGTAAATTCAGGATTTGTACTATCATTCTGGTCAATTATTCCTTTTATCTTTATCTCTTAGGCTTTTTGCCTTTGAGTCTGTTTTGTCTGACATTAAGACAGCTGTACGAATTTCCTTTTGGTTAGTATTTGCCTGCTATATCTGTGTCCATCCCTATACTTTTAACCCTTCTGTGCCTGTAGGTTTTAGGTAATTAAGTGTTTTGAACAAATTAATGAGTCTTTTCAAAATTAATGCTACGTTGGTTGTCATAGTGGCTTTCTAATTTCATCATTCCTTCTATATTTATCCCTGTTATATTTTTTAAACTTTTTTTATTGTAAAATATAGCTAAAATTTACCATTTTAACCATTTTTAAGTGTATAACTCAGTGGTATTAAGTACATTCACATTGTCGTGCAGCCACCTTTTACATTTATTTGTTGGCATTCTACTGTAAGATAGAGCTTTTTCTTCTTCCCTTCTTATATCATTTATTTTGGTGGTTTGATTCTCTCAGATTTGGCTATGGGATCCTCTGGCTTCTGTGTTCTTTTGACATGATGCTATCATTCTTCGAGCACTTTTTTTTTTTCACTTTCTAGCACCATAAGATATTCCAGGCTCCTCTTGTACTTTCCCTGGCTAACTAGCTCTGGAGTCAGTCTGTTTCTCCAAGGGACGATGATTGCTTTTAGTGGAGAATGGTATTTATAAGTTAATGTCTGGGCATTGGATATGCCGTTGTTAATGGGGTATCATTACTGTAGGTCCTCTCCGCAAACAGCTAGGAAATATATGTGTATACATACATACAAACACACATCTATATGTCTACATGTATAAGACATCGATGTGTACTTCCACATCCATCCATTTATATATATTAAAAACCATGAGTTCATACTGACACCTCCAGTTCCAATCCAACTGTATTGGGTTTATTCCAGCCTCCTCCCTGTCCATATTTGTAACTCCTTTCTCCAATAGTGAGAGACCAGGCACTCACATATATTCCTTTTCACACACACACTTTTTTGCTGATTGGCCGCATCATCCTTAAATATTTCACATGCACCTCCTAAGAACAAGGAGATTTTCCTTTCTAACTGCAATGTGATTATCATGCTTAAGATGCTGCTATTAGTCCTTTTTGCGTTTCCTCCAGTTGACCCAATAATGACCTTTGTAGCTTTTTTTTCTTTTGCCGATCCAGGATCCAGTCAAGGATCATGTATTGCATTGGGTTCTTATACTTCTTTTGTCTTCTTTAATCTAGAACATTTATTTGTTTTTTGGTTTTTATGATATTTACATTTTGAAGAGATCAAGCTGGTTGTTATGCAAATTTGGATTTGTGTGACCATTTTCTCTTTATTAGATTCAGTTTAAATGTTATTTCTTGGCAAAAATACAATAGGTAGTGGTGTGTTCCTTTCAGTGTATCACCTCGAGAGACTCCTGGTATCATTTTGTCGCTTTACTGGAAACATTACATTGGATCACTTGGTCAAGGTGCTAGCAACCTGATTTCTTCCCAATAGCTTTTCCCTTTTGTAATTAACAAATAATCTAGGGACCAGCCTGGTGGCGTACTGGTTAAGTTCATGCACTCCGCTTTGGTGACCCAGGGTTCGTGGGTTCAGATCTTGTGTGCGGACCTACACACTGCTCATCAAGCCATGCTGTGGTGGCGTCCCAAATACAAAATAGAGGAAGATTGGCACAGATCTTAGCTCAGGACCACTCTTCTTCAGGCAAAAAGAGAAAGATTGGGTATGGATGTTAGCTCAGGGCCAATCTCCCTCACCAAAAAAAATAATAAATTAAAAATAAATAAATAATGTATAGTGTAATCCTTCAAGTGTGTGAATTTCCTGTTCCCCCAACAGCCTTTCACCCAATGATTTTAGCATCCATTGATGATCCTTTCCTGAATGAGTACATGCAGTGGTGGTTGCAAAATGGAGACGTTCTAATACTTTCATTTCTTCTACATTTAGTAGTTTGCATTGCTCTGTAAAGAAGCGCTTTCTGTTTTTCCCCTCACCCCACAGTTTGTTTGTTTTAGCCAGTTTGGACTGATGGTTGATTCTGTCTTTAGCAGTCTCTAAACTGCTGTTTAACGAGCTCATTGAGTTTTTAAATTTGTCGGGGTTTTTTTCAGTTTTCAAAGTTTTGTTTGGTTCTGTTTCAAATATGCCTGATTTACTTTAGGTTATCTTATGTTGTTCTTATGTTTTCAGTTCTTTTTCTTATCACAGTCACTTAAAACATACTTTTTAGAAGTCTCTGTCCAGCAGTTCGGTTATCTAAAGTTCTCGGAGATTAAATACTAACATTTTTGTCTTGTTGACTCTTTTGCTGGGAGGCTTATTTTCTTGTGATTTATGTGTGTTTTGTCTGTTTGTGGTAGACTTGTCTTCAGTAGTGTTTTATCGATGCTTTTTCTGTCCTGGGTAGGCGGAGTGGAAGCCTGGTCTCCTCCTAGCAGTTTTGTGTTTGTCTCTGCCAGGTGCCTCAGGAGTATCACTGACCTCAAACTAACTTAAGTAATTTCTGAGCTTGGAGGTTCCTGGACTTCACGGGTAGTGTAAATGGGTGCTCTAAATGTGAAGGTGGATCTGTGATTTTTAAATCTCAGAGGTTTTTTTAAATTTCCCAACAGCCTGACTAACACAGACAAGCTTCCTTGTTACTACCTCCTAGTGCCAGTAGACAGATCTTTTTTCTTATTCACTGAGAATGCAGTCCTCTGAGATCCCTGGCCCTGTGCTGGGTGAGGGGATGGAGGTAGGAGGAAGGCCTGAATCCAGCTTTCCACCTCTGCTGGGCCTACATCCTCTTTTCCCATTTGGCCCCTGAAATCCAAGCTACCAGGTTTCCCAAAGCCTGCAAAATTCTCCGTAGGAGCCACACATCAGCTCGCACACAGGCCACTCTGATTTTCAATTCCCTTTTCATTTTTAGCCACTGGCTATTCCTCTTACTTTTTGTAAGTTCCATTATTCATTTAAATAATGTGTTTTATTTAATGAACATTTTTAGATCTATGTAGTGGGAGATCTTTCAGGCTGCCTAGTTTGTTATGTTGTCAGAATTCCGAATCTCTACGTGCTTCGATTCTTAGGTCCTTTGGGCTCTCCAGGTCCAGATCTTGTGCTGTTTTGTTGGTGGCAGTGGTCATCAGAGACAGGCCCTATTTTGTCACTGCTTACTATATATATTTGCTTTTGCTTTGGCTAATATACAACAGATACTAAAACTTCTCATTTGTATCATCTGTGTAAAACTTCTTTTGTATCTAAAGCCAGTCTTTATCAAAATTTTTCTCATGTTCACATTTCTGTCTCAGAAATCTTGATTATCATTTTTAAAATTAGTAGTCAAAATGATTAATCAAAATAGGATAACTTTGTCCTCTATCATGACCATGTCTCTTACCTTCGTTTTTTATTCCCTATTTATTAAATCAGTTGTGTTGGTTTAAAACTTCTTTTCTTGACATTAATTCATTCCTGTAAGTCAATTTTGCCAGAAGTCCTACTTGAAAATTTAACTTTACACCAAGTGTGATATTCCTTGACTGTGCATAATTATTTATTTTTATGCTGTCATGAAACATACTACTATTCACCAAAGCTACTAGCACAGGACTGGCTAACCTTCAAGGTTTTGATGCTATGGGGTGAAATACTGCAACATATTCCTTTCATGATTGCTCATCCTTTGTGCCTGTAAACATCACAAGAAAACCAGTTCTATTATTTTCTAGTCACTTCTTTTAGAAATTCTGTGGAGATTAAAAAAAACTAATTTCTACTCGTGATTTTTTTTATGTGGGTATGAAGTATCAACTGATATTTTTGATATCAGTTAAACTCTGAAAATAAGCCGCTTCATAAGTATCATAAGCCCGTCATCGAAAATTTGCGATTTGTTCAGGTACTGTGCTCCATGCTGGGGAAAACACCCCCTGCTCTCAAGGAGCTCAGATTCTGTCTGGGGCAAGAGACAGACTGTAACCTTGAAGTGTGATGAGTTCTCTGGTCGAGGCCTCTACAGGACTAAGTTCCTAAATATGACTGTTTACATTTCCTAAAAGTAAATTTGTAAATCTGGAGGTGTAATCAGCAGATAGTCTCTTTTACTACCACACAGGAATTACTACAGGCCGTAAATGGAACCCAGCATAGTGCAGGGAAGAATGGGTTTAGCTGCTAGCCCTCAGAGCAGTTTCCTAATAGGAAGCTCTCGTTATGCCATTCAGAAAGAGCTTCTAAAAATTCAAGCAGGTAACTTCCTTAGCCTGTTTTTTCCCTGAAGAAATTTGTCTTTTGTTTGTTTCTCACTGAAGCATTTAAAAGTCTTAGATAATGAAATAAGCTTAATTTTACAACAAAAATAAACAGACACTTTCATCCACTTAGGGTTTTTATGGCTCTTAAATTGATACTTCTCAGAAAATGTTCTTTCTAATTTTTAGCACAAGCAGGCCATGTTCTCTAAACAAAAGGTAGCGTTGGGGAGGAGAGGGGAGAGGAGCTCCTGGAGGCTCCGTCTTCCTGGATTGCCAGTACCTGGGTGCCCAGATGCCCGGGGTTCGTGTGCTGACTCTAGATGTCAGGATTACTCCTGCACGCTGACGCTCTGTGATCATTGTAGGGAGCCCGGACTCCACCTCGCCGTCCACTAGTCCCACTTTCTGGAACTACAGTCGTTCTGTGGGGGATTATGCGCAAACCTTAAAGAAGTTTCAGTACCAGCTGGCCTGTAGGTCTCAGGCCCCATGTGCCAACAAAGATGAAGCTGATCTCAGTTCTAAACAAGCTGCAGAAGAGGTAAATGGAAAATAAAAATGACTTGATATTTCTGATTTACAGATTATTAGAAAGGCTTCTCTTCTACTTCTAGAACGTTTTTTTTTCTGTAACCTCCACTTTTAATGCCTAGAAACATAAGTCTGGCAAACATTAAACAGTGGAAAGACTCCTATCTAACTTTGTGTGCGTGAAACTGAATTATATTTTACGTGTTACTCTTTATGACACATAGTTGACATTAGTGTCCTCCTAAAACTTTTTTCTGCATTCATTTATAAAAAGGTATCTCAAGTATCTCTTTGTACTCAACATATGCAAGACATTTTAATACATTTGGATTAGAACATTTGACAGTCTGTAAATTCATCAGTTTAATACTAAGTATAAGATTTTTATTTTGTTCTTAAAAGCAAAAAGAATGTCCTTTAAACATACTAATGTAAGGAATTTTAGAGATATATCTGTGCATGAATAGCAACCAAGTGAGTAATAAGACAATTACGGCATATTAATTAGATCAGTATTGATGTTTGTGAAGACTTTTTTCAAATCATTCCAAATATTTTTGAGGGTAGGGGAGAGAATGACTGATTTCTGGCAAGATTTTTCCTCACTGATTATTCATTTTAAACATATTTTTAATAGGTTTGGGCAAGAGTGACAATGAATAGACAACTTCTTGATCATATGGATTCATGGACAGCTAAGTTCAGAAATGTAAGTTCTGACATTGCTCTCTGGATGATATTAGTGTCTTAATATGCAAAGTATGTTCTTGGAATATCAGAGATGTTAATTATTAATCAGAATATCAGACTTAATTATTATTAAAAGTGCAGTATGGATGGCATGTGTATAAGGATAAACATGACATTTACCTTATGGCATCCATTTTCATGGGATTTTTTTTCTCCTCCATATTTAGTAAGTCAGTGTATTTTGAGTGGATAAGGGAATAATACATTTAGTTATTAAGGTCTTTCCTTTCCCAGCATCTCAATTTTATTTTTCGGAGAGCTTTTGTATCAGCTGTTAGGTGTCTAGAAATATGAGGGAAACAAAAATGAGATCCTTGCCCTCAGAAGACTTCAGAGTTAGAGAGAGAAGACAGTATATGCTTGAAGCTACTTCAGTCAATTTCTTTGATTTTTCTACAGAAGAACCCTCTAATCTTTGACCTGGAGGTTGGGAAGGCCAGCTCTTCCATATGGAGCATGAATTAGTTTCCTTATGTCAGCGCTGCCTCTTCCTGTCACTCTCGGGAGTCCCTCTGTGTCCCAAGTTCTGTTGGGCAGATTGGCCCCTGGTCCACTGCAGGTAGCTCCACTTAGATTCTGTAGAGGCTGCTGCTGCTTCTGCTGTTTCGTCCTTCAGCACTCATGCATCCACTCTCTATCTTCTAGAAATATCTTGAAATCACTTGTACTCCTTTTTTATTGTTTTACTATAATTTAAATAGGGTATCAATAGGGAGTGGGGAAAAACAGCAGCCTGCTTTCTTGACCCGGAAGTCTGGATGGCTTGTTAAAAAAAAAATTCCTGAGCCCAACCTAAAACTACTGACTTTTTGGGGATGAGGTCTGGATCTCTCTTCTGGACCCCTTAGATAATTTTGTTGCAGCCAAAGAGTGTCTGACAAGTAGGATGCATTTAATAAATGTTAGAAGAATGAGTGAAGTGATGTCCTAAAACTATACTCTCTTTTTTTCCACTTATAGGCTTGTTTAAAAATGCTAATGTATTTAAAATATAAAGTCTTGGTCAGGAGTACTAGCTTGGGAGAAATACAAACACAATCCCTTGTCCAAATTCCTTAGGCTACAGTGTTCTAAATTTAGTGGTTTTTGGATTTTTTTAAAAAACTATATGCATATACCATATATTTTGTAATACCGCTAATGGAGTCTGGTTAGCACTAGGTAATCAACCACATGAATATTTCTGCAGCAAAGCATTTGAATAGTCACGCTAAGTGGGATGAAGTCTGTAAATAGCTTCATGGGAATTCAGTTCAGGTCCTGCTAATATATCAAATTTGCTTGCTAAATGGATTCCAAAAAAACTTGCAATTTTCAGAGATTTTTACTTCAAAATTTTTATAAGGAATTATAGACCTGTATTTCACCTGTACTTTTTTCATCCTTCAATTTTATGGTTAAACAGAAGCATTGAAACAGAAATGGTGGTTGAAGTTGCTACAGACACACACAAAACATGTAACACGGACAAACCAGATGGCGTGATCCCTTGGACAGTCTTTTCACATCCCGGAGTTAGTTTGATATTAGCCATGCAAAGTGGCATTTGAAATTCCTTGTTCTAAAGTGCTATTGTAATAGTCACAAACCAGTTTCAAATATAATAAATCTGTTTTCCACGTGGCTAGGGAATTGGGTGAGCCTGCTGAGAGTTAATCTCTTGTGTTAGTTTCAAAAACTATCTTACTAATCTCAAACCAATATAAACACTACTTGAATAAATGTATGAATGATTACCCTAGACATGTAAACTGAAAGTTATCCTTTTAGCTAAGTATAATAGTCATAGAAAAATTTAAGAAAAATTTAACATATAACTGAAAGTTTTATATTTTCTTCAGGAAAAAAAACAGACGTGATTTAAGAATATAACTTAGCAACTTACATTCCAATAGCATGTTTGCTTAACTCTCTCTAGACTTCAGGTACTTGCTGCTTCCGTTCTCTCCACTGTACTCTTAACCTTCTAGTACAAGATGGTAAAAAAATTCTTAGTTTTATGAAAACAGTTATTTGAGAAATGCTTTAGAATTATGTGTGTAAAGTCTTTACCTCATTTCTTCCTAGTGGATCAATGAGACAATATTAGTGCCACTTGTACAGGAGGTTGAGTCTGTCAGCACACAGATGAGACGGATGGGTTGTCCAGAGCTGCAGATAGGAGGTATGTGAAAACAGAGCCCAGCGTTTGATGTACCTGCAATGAATCTGCCAGGTAGAAAATTTCTTCTTGTAATAGGCTGTTTAGCACCTTCTTTTGTTATGTTGAGGTGAAGACAAAAACTAAATGTCTGTAATAGTGTTTTTTTAATATAACAGTTTTATTGAGATATAATTTACTTACCATACAGTTCACCCATTTGAAGTCTACAGTTCAAAGGTTTGGGTTGTATAACCATCACCATAATCAATTTTAGAGTATCTCATCACACAAAAAAGAAACCCCATGTACACACACACACACACACACACACACACACACACACACCCCCACCCACCCCCTTTCCCACCACCACCTATTCCCCAGCCCTAGGCAACTACCAGCCTGTCTCTATAGATAGGCCTGTTGTGGATATTTCATATAAATGAGATCATACAATATGTTGTCTTTTGTGACTGGCTTCTTTCGCTTGACGTAATGTTTTCAAGGTTCATCTGTGTTGTATCGCCTATCAGAACTTCATTTCCTTTTATTGCCAAATAATATCGCATTGTAAAGATCTACCACATTTTGTTTGCCCATTCATCAATTGATTGCCATTTAGGTTGTTTTCACTTCTGGGCTATTATGAACAATGCTGCTATGAACAGTTGTGTAAAAGTATTTGTGTGGATGTGTATTTTAATTTCTCTTGGGTGTTACCTAGGAATGGAATTGCTGAGCCATATAGTAAACTCCTTGTTTATTTGGGAAGTACAGAAATACACAAAGGAGAATATTACCCATAGTTCTGCTTCTAGAGATAACCATTATCAATTTTAAGTCACAACCAATTATTATTTTTGGAGAAAAATACTATGATGCTAACTATATATATCAATTGTAAATTATACATAATTTAAGAACATTAAAATATGAAGAGTATATATTTAGGAGTCGAGAAAATACAGTACCTCTGTATGTATATATTTTTAATGAAATTGTGGTCATACCATTTTGTTATCTGCTTTTCCCCCCACTATTTCTCTTTTGTTGAATATTCTCCAGTACTATTTTTATGGCTAGATTGTATTTCTTTTTTATATATACAATGTGTTGTACTTTTAACTGATCTTTATTATCTAAAATTTATGGTTTTTTCCCTTTGCTGTTATTAATAATGCTGTGAGTCAGTATCCTTTTATCTAAATATTTGTGTACATTTATAATTATTTCTTTAGGATAATTTCTTAGAAATGGAGTTGGGCCAGTAGCATAGTGGTTAAGTCTGCCACATTCCACTTCAGTGGCCTGGGGTTCACAGGTTTGGATCCTGGGCATGGACCTACACCACTCATGAGAAGGCCATGCTGTGGTGGTGACCCACATACAAAAAATAGAGGCAGATTGGCACAGATGTTAGCCCAGGCCTAATCTTCCTCACCAAAAAAAAAGAAGTGGAGTTGTCAGTTCAATAGGTATAAACGTATTAAGTCTTTTGATGTGCATAACCTTTCAAAAACCTTATATCAGTGTATATACTCTAGCAACCATGTCACATGTAAGCATGGCTTTTTCCCAACATTGGATATTACTAGTAAGGTTGGACATTTTGTGGAATTTCTGGTGGTTTATTAATTTCTTTGGATAGTTGTCTTTCATGATATGAGGAAAGAAATCGCTGTCATAAAAAGTTTCTGTGGGGCTGGCCCCATGGCTGAGTGGTTAAATTCACTCACTCTGCCTTGGCGGCCCGGGGTTCAACAGTTTGGATCCTAGGCGTGGGCCTACACGCCACTCATTAAACCATGCTGTGGCAGCATCCCACATAGAAGAACTAGAATAAGCTACAAGTAGGATATACAACTATGTGCTGGGGATTTGGGGAAAAAGAAAAAAAAGAGGAAGATTGGCAGCAGATGTTAGCTCAGAGCCGATCTTCCTTACCAAAAAGCTTTAAAAAAAAGTTTCTGCTTGTCACTTCCATAGCAGGCAACTTTTAATTCAACCTGATTTTGAAAGCTGTCATATATCTTTTTATAAATACCCTACAAAAATCTTCTGTGCAGAGCCAGCCCTGGTGGCCTAGTGCTCCACTTCAGTGGCGCAGGTTTGGTTCCCAGGTGTGGAACCACACAACTCATCTGTCAGTAGCCATGCTGTGACAGCAGCTCATGTAGAAAAACTAGAAGGACTTACAACAAGTATGTACAACTGTGTACTGGGGCTTTGGTGAGGGAAAAAAAGAAGAGAGGAAGATTGGCAATAGATATTAGGGTGAATCTTTCCCAGCAAAAAAAAAGAGAGAAAAATCTTCTCTGTGTTAGTTGTCCATAGATCTGCTGATATGGATTTGGCTGCCCCTTTTGTAATGTGTGTGTGTGTGTGTGTAAATCTGGCTACCTTGCCAGAAATGATGAAATAAATTGTAGGTAAAGTAGATAATGGCCAGCCCTGGTGGTCTAGTGGTTAAGTATCAGCACTCAACCGCTGCAGCCTGGATTCGTTTCCTGATCATGGACCCACACTACCTGTCTGTCGGTTGTCATATTGTGGCAGCTGCGTGTTACTATGATGCTGAAAGGTGTGCCACTGGTATTTCAAATACCAGCAGGATCACTCATGGTGGACAGGTTTCAATGGAGCTTCCAGACTAAGACAGACTAGGATGAAGGACCTGACCACCTACTTCCGAAAAAGTCGGCCATGAAAACCCTGTGAGTAGCAGCAAAGCATTGTCTGATACAGTGCTGGAAGGTGAGAGGATGGCGCAAAAAGACCAGGCAGGTTCTGTTCTCCTCCACACAGGGGCCCTAGGGATCAGAATCGACTGGATGGCACTAACAACAAAAAGTAGATCATGCAAATTGTTAGGACTATTATTGCTTTCATTTATTCCTTCAACATCTATTGAGGGAAGAGCATTTTAAGTTCTTTTAGAGACCCACATGAAGAATAATCTGTGTTGTGTATGTTTTATTTTTGACAGAGGCTAGTATTACTAGCTTGAAGCAAGCTGCTCTGGTCAAAGCTCCTCTCATTCCAACTCTGAATACAATCGTGCAGTATCTAGACCTTACACCAAATCAGGAATACTTGTTTGAGAGGATCAAAGGTAACTGTTGATTTGAAAAAGAAAAAAACAAGAGCTTTTTCACTAGTACTTTGAGATGTTATAATAAAATAAAGGTAACAAAGAAAAGCACTTTTTGAAAAAAGGAAAAGTATCCCTAAGTATTATCTCATATTTTATAAATATATATAATTATGGCTTAATTAAGGCTTATACTTGAACAACTTTTGGGTTTTATATTTTATATGCTTAAGAATTGTCAATGTAGTTAGCCTTGAATATGTTAATTAATGATTTTATTGTATTTAGGGAGACTTAAATATGAGCTAAATGGGCTCAAGTGAATATTTCACTAATTTTCTACTGGGAGTAGAAACTACCAAGCATGGGTGCCACTGTGGCATTCTTTATAATTTTAGTATGCTGATACTTATTTCTTTGAGTTTTTATAATTTGTATTTAATATATTGCTTCTTTATATTTCTGTTATATTTTGATTATTTGGGGGGGGAATTCTGGTTCTTTGGGGGGTCTTCTGAGGAACCTGACTTGAGAGTCAGGGAAGTACCCTTCCTGAGCCTCCACACGCCCTCTTTATGCCTCCCTACTTTTATTTGGATAAATTCTGTAAAATGTTCTCATCACTAAGCAAGTTTTAGAAATAATATTTCACTCTTCAGATTCATCATAAATGTTAATGTAAAAATGTTATGGTGCCCGCTCTCTCCCCTAGGTTGGCACTGGGGTTCAGGAATAAGCATTTATCATGACTTTTAAAAACTTTCTATATAAGGAAAATTCAAACATGCATAAAACTAGATGCAACAGTATGCTCAGCCCTCTTGTACTCAGCACCCGTCCCAACAGCCGTCAGTCCCTGGGCAACCCCTGCATGAGCCGTGTCCTGTCTAGCCCCTCCCTTCCTGTGTTATTGGAGACAAATCCTCCACACTGACATCACCTCATCTGTAAATATCTCCATATGTATCTCTAAAATAGAAGGCTTTTAAAAAACCACAGTACAATTATCACACCTAATTTTTGAAACAGTTTCTTTATATCTTGAAATACACAGCCTGTGTACAAATTTCCAGCTATCTCATAAAATGTATAATTACTTTGTTTGGTATTGTTTGTTTAAATTGGGATTTAAATCTTATCACATATTGTGATTGGTAGATGCATTTAAGTTTCTTTTAGGCTGCAGGTTTCCCATCCATCCTTTTTGCTTTGCAGCTTATTTGTTGAAAGAACTGGATTGTGTGTCCTATTGAGTTTCCCGTGGTGTGGATTTTGCTGAACATGTCCCCATGGTGTAGTTTGACATGACCCTCTGTCCTCTGTATTTCCTGTGAATTCAGGTTGCAATTTTTTGGCAAGATTGCTTCATAGGTGTGTGTGTGTGCGCGCACGCGTGTGCATATATACAAAGTATATATAAAGTATTATTGTATATCAAATATGCAAAAAAGTTTACAAAATACAGTGAACACAGTATGGGCCTTCTAGATTGAACAGTTACCAACGTTTTGCCATTTTTGGCACGTCTCTCTCTCTTTCTCTTTCTGTGTGTGTACATACACACACACTTTTTTTTGCTCTACTATTTGAAAGTACATTACAGACATTATTACTTTTCAGCACAAGAATTCCTGAAAATTACATTCTCCTGCATAACCACAATACACTTATCAGACCTTTAAAATTAACTATATTTGTATAATATCTAATATACAGTTCATATTCAGATTTCCCAATTGTCCAAAGAATGCTATATATTCTTTTTTTATCCCTAACCAAGATAGAGTCTAGGTTTACACATTACATTGTATTGTTTTATCTTTTTTTTTAGTCTCTTTGTCTAGAACAGTTCTGCCACCATTTTTTTCCCAAATGACATTGACTTTTTTAAGAATCCAGAGTAGTAGTCTTCTCCCACATTGTGGATTTACCTGATTCTTTCCTCATGGTGATGTTTGAGTTAATCTTTTATATGTTGTATTTCTTTATGTTTGGGTGTTTTGATCAGGTTTTTAAGATGATTTGCTTCCCTTGTTATAACTTCTTAGGCTTTTTCTTATTTTTTTGCATATTCTTAGCTTTTTAAATTTCACCTTTGTTTTACAGAACTATCTCAAGGAGGCTGTATGAGCTCGTTTCGATGGAATAGAGGTGGAGACTTCAAAGGACGCAAGTGGGACACAGACCTGCCCACTGATTCTGCTGTAAGTTCCTAGTTTTGTTTTCTCAGGTTAACATTTTTCTTTTTTTTTTTTTTTGAGGAAAATTAGTCCTAAGCTAACGTCTGCCACCAATCCTCCTCTTTTTGCTGAGGAAGACTGGCCCTAAGCTAACATCCATGCCCATCTTCATCTACTTTATATGTGGGATGCCTGCCACAGCGTGGCTTGATGAGCAGTGCCATGTCCGCACCAGGGATCCAGACAGGCAAACCCTGGGCCCCTGAAGTGGAATGTGCAAACTAAACCACTGTGCCACTAGGCTGGCCCCTTAGTTTAACATTTTTGTTATTGGATTTATGTGTTTTTATTTTTCCATTATAAAAATAAGTACTAAAAAGAACTTAGAAACTAAGGTAGAAATAAAAAATAAAATTGTACAAGTGTCTTAACCCAACCACTGTTAATATTTTGGTGTATTTTTTTCCCTTTATTTAGGTTGTGCTATTTTTTAGTTTTTATCATAGCTGTAATCATGCCATATGTAAAATTTTGTATCCTGCTTTTTTCACTTTTGCAATGTTTAACTATTTTTTCATTATTACACACTATCATCTAACTGTTCTCCTATATTGGGCCTAAAAGTTTGAGAAACGTGGAATGGGGAGAGATTTCTGTTTTTCTATCTCAAATAATGTTACAAGGACTATCATGATGCATATTTCTTTCTTATTTGGGATTATGACTTTAAGAAAGATTGCTAGAATTAGATTTATGAGATCACAGAATATAAAGTTTTTGAACATTTAAGAGTTTTTCAAAATCATGTTCTTTATCTTTTTATAGTGACTGTTATGTGTGAAAATGAAATTTTAAATGTTAATATTCAAATTGAGTATTGAATGTATGTGTATTTTATCTTGGTTTTGCTGTTACTTAACTCTGGGTGTGAAGGATTCACTTAACGGAAAACTTAAGATTGTCTTGCTTTTATCTTTTCATTGTATAGATTTCATCTTAGAACCTCTTGAAAACATTTTTGCTAATTTTCTCTTTAGGGGAAAATTTAAAAGTTGGAGTCATTATAAACACACACGTTTTTAGAAGGCTGTATCCATGATAGATTTCATGCTGACTTTGAAACACTGTCCCTCCTCTTCAGATCATCATGCATGTATTCTGCACCTACCTTGATTCCCGGTTACCTCCACACCCAAAGTACCCCGACGGGAAAACATTTACCTCTCAGCACTTCGTTCAGACACCAAATAAACCAGGTATAAACCTTTCCTGAAAGAATGAGTTGAGCTTTTCACATGAAATATATCCAGTGGTTTGGTTTTATTTTTTAACGTAGCGTGTTTCCTTTACAGATGTGACCAATGAGAATGTCTTTTGCGTTTATCAAAGTGCTATCAACCCTCCCCACTATGAACTGATCTACCAGCGTCATGTCTACAATCTTCCAAAGGTACTTCTGAATGTAGAAGTTGCTGTTACAGAATGTTGAGGATGACTTGCTTTGATATATATTTTTTTTTTGAGGAAGATTAGCCCTGAGCTAACATCCACCACCACTCCTCCTCTTTTTTATTGCTGAGGAAGACGCCCTGAGCTAACATCCATGCCCATCTTCCTCTACTTTATATGTGGGACGCCTGCCACAGCATGGCTTGATAAGTGGTGCATAGCTCTGCACCTGGAATCTGAACTGGTGAACCCTGGGCCACCAAAGCTTAGCGCATGACCTTAACCGCTATGCCACTGGGCTGGCCCGCTTTGATAATATTTTTTTTTTAATTTATTTTTTTTTATTTATTTATTTTTATTGAGTTAATGATAGGTTACAATCTTGTGAAATTTCAGTTGTACATTAATGTTTGTCAGTCGTGTTGTAGGTGCACCACTTCACCCTTTGTGCCCACCCCCCACCCCACCTTTCCCCTGCTATCCACTAAACTGTTCTTAGTCCATAAATTTAAATTCCTCATATGAGTGGAGTCATACACAGATTATCCTTCTCTCGCTGGCTTATTTCACTTAACATAATTCTCTCAAGGTCCATCCACGTTGTTGCAAATGGAATGATTTTGTTCTGTTTTGCAGCTGAGTAGTATTCCATTGTATATATGTACCACATCTTCTCTATCCATTCGTCTGTTGATGGGCGCTTAGGTTGCTTCCACGTCTTGGCTATTGTAAATAATGCTGCAGTGAACACTGGGGTGCATAGGACTTTTGGGATTGCTGACTTCAAGCTCTCTGGATAAATACCCAGTAGTGGGATGGCTGGATCGTATGGTAGTTCTATTTTTAATTTTTTGAGGAATCTCCATACTGTTTTCCATAGTGGCTGCACCAGTTTGCATTCCCACCAGCAGTGTATGAAGGTTCTTTTTTCTCCACAACCTCTCCAACATTTGTTACTATTAGTTTTAGATATTTTTGTCATTCTAATGGGTGTAAGGTGATATCTTAGTGTAGTTTTGATTTGCATTTCCCTGATGATCAGCGATGATGAGCATCTTTTCATGTGCCTATTGGCCATCTGTATATCTTCTTTGCAGAAATGTCTGTTCATGTCTCCAGCCCATTTTTTGATTGGGTTGTTTGATGTTTTGTTGTTGAGTTGTGAGAGTTCTTTGCTTTGATAATATTTTTAAAATAGGATTCTCTTTTTTATGGAGTAGGTAAACTTTTAAATTAGGGAAAATTTATTTCTTGTATATCCTTTTTTTTTTTTTTTTTTTTTTTTTTTTTTTTACTATAAAGCTAATATATATTTAATTTGGAAAAGTATAAAGAAAAGAAAAATCATTCATTATTCCATTACTTAGAGGCAGCTCCTTATTAACATGTTGGTGTGCTGCCTTTTGGTAAATTTTATTTTGGTCTTTGTACTTTTTTACAGGTTGAAATCATATTATTTACATAGTTTTATATCCTTTTAAAAATTAACTTTATAACATAATTTTTTAGTGCCATTAAAAATCTTCAGGAAAATACTTTTTAATGGCTATAAAAAACTTCATCATAAGATTGTAACATAATTTATTCAACCATTCCCCTACTGTTGGACATTTTGGATGCTTCTAATTCTTCATTATCATAAGTACAGCTGAATATTCAACTTTATGCATATAACTATCTTCATTTGGGGTAATTTCTTTAGCCCAAAGTCCAAAAGTGGAATTCTAAGGTACAGAATATTATCAAGGCTTTTAAAACATATTATCAAATTACTTTATAAAAAAGATTATTGTACCAGTTTACACTTCTTTCAAGGTATTTTACTCTCGATTGCAAACAGATTGTTTGCAGTTGTGTTGGTGACCTTTTCTCATATTTTTCTACCGGCATTGTTAGTAAGAAATTTTACATTTACTATAATCGTAAATCATGCTCTCCATCAGATTCCCAGGAGAGAATATTAATTTCATTTTTTTCAAGTTTAGTATTTCAACTTTGTAAGTGTAAATATTTTGGGCCATTGATATTCCTGTGGGTACACATGCAAATCCTTTTTTACTTTTTGTTTGTTTGTTTTTTTTAACATTTTCTTTTCCTTTTTCCCCCCAAAGTATATTCTTCGTTGTGGGTCTTTCTAGTTGTGGCATGTGGGATGCCGCCTCAGCATGGTTCGCTAAGCAGTGCCATATCTGCGCCCAGGATTCGAACCAACGAAACACTGGGCCGCCTGCAGTGGAGTGCGTGAACTTAACTGCTCAGCCATGGGGCCAACCCCACAAATCCTTTTTTACTTTTTAAAGAAATACTGTCTTTTAAAAATTATACATCCGTAGATTCTTGAGTAAAAACAATAAATCAGAGTAAGCAGCTACAAGTTAATCAGTAAGTTGAAAGTCTCACTTAGGAGCTATTTTACAGACCAGAAATTACATATAACAGTTTGAGTTTAAGGGCTAGCAAAATGCTGCCTCGTAGTTCCTGGTAGCTAAAATAAATGTATATTTAACTTGTTAATTATACTGTTATTAACATATACTGTAATGTATTTTGAAGTGTGATTAAAAGTTTTTTAATCCCATCACTTTTGTTTTTGCTGTTGATTTTGGAGATAGAACAGTTTTTGTGTGTCGTATACAGGGTCACCAGCCTCAGAACAGCTCTCTTTCAAGCTTTCATAAATACTGCTGCTCACGTGTGGAAACTTCCCAATGTGTTTACTTTCCGCTCATCTTTCAGGTCTCAACTTAAAAATCCTTCCCTTGGGGAGGCATTCCCTGCCTCCCCGTCGGGGTCAGATGCCCGCACCTGTTGCCCTGATGCTCTGCACCTCCTCTCTCATGACAGTCATCATACTTTCTTTTAATTCTCAGTTTACTGTCTGCCTTTCCTACTAGACTTTAAGCCCCTTGATTACATGGATTCTGTCTGTCTGATTCACCACAATGTTCTCTCTTCCTAGCACAAAGTAGGCACTTTGTTTAATGAATGAAAGTCTGAATTATGTACATGGAATTCTGAGTATTAGAATGTGAAGGATCTGCATTTACCTATCATACTGAATCTTTGGTTTGGTTTGGTTTAGTTTAAATCTTGCTCTCTTTTTCTCTTTATTCCAGGGCCGAAATAATATGTTTCACACCTTGTTAATGTTCCTCTACATTATAAAGACCAAAGAGTCAGGAATGCTTGGGTAGGTGTGGTAGGTGTTTGTGCTTTAAAAACACAAGTATTTAATTTGTTTACTGTTTTTCTTCTTATGGTAAGATTCTGCAAAGGGCAGCTTCATATACTGAAAGGATTTGTGGAGCGAACAAGAGATATGGCTTCTAGTACTAGCTCAGCCTTGTCGCTCACCAGCTCTGCTATCTTGGGCAAGTCCATTAATTCCTCAGAACTTCCATTTATTTCCCTGTTGGTAAAAAGGCAGTTGGACCATCATTGGCTTTACACTTGTGTTCCCCAGAGGAACAACTCCGAGATATATCTCAGGCTCTTGCCACTTTGAAATTTATAAAAATAATAAAAAACTGGAGTCTATTTGTATTTACACCATCCCATTTCAGACACAAAGCCTTCTGCAAAATGTTTACACTTCCACAGAGTCTGAGTCAGCACCCATTCCATAATATTGTTAACTGGGATGGAAAAATGGTCAGTTGAAATTGTTTATTCTAAATACTTAGTAATGAAGCTCACATACTGTTACAATAAATTCACAGTTGCTATATTGTCATTTTGATGATCCAGCATTTTAGTGTGTGAGTAACGTTGGAAGTAAGTGGACACGGGCTAAAGCTGGGGAAGTCTGGCACTGCACGGTCTGAGGGCCCTAAACCTGGGTTCTGGGTCCAGCTCTGCCAGCAGTAAGCACACTGAGGCTAAGAAAATGTAAAGAGAAGGCCTTGGAGTAGAAAACCTCTGGGGTCCATTACAGTTCTGACATGCGTGCGTCTTTTCTAAGTTTTGTGTAGGTGCCCTCTTTTATACGTATTCTAGAACTGCATTGTCTGATAAAGCAGCCATCAACCACATGTGGCATTGAGCATTTGAAACATGACTGGTCCAAATTGAGGTGTGTTATAAGTGTGAAATACATAGACTAGAATTCCAAGACCTAGTACCAAAAATATATATCTATATCTCATTAATAATTTTGTATATTGTTCGCTTGTGTTGAAATAATATGTTGGATATATTGGGTTAAATGAAATCTATTATTAAAATTAATTTTACCTGTTTCTTCTTTTTTTTTTAACTATTTTTTTTTTGAGGAAGATTAGCCCTGAGCTAACATCTGCCACCAATCCTCTTTTTGCTGAGAAGACTTGCTCTGAGCTAACGTAATGAATTTTTAGTTCAATTGAAAATTTATCTTTTCCTTCAAAAGATCCACATTGATATTTTGATGCATAAATGATTTGTCATGATAGCATGAAGCTTGGATTGAGTGCCATATACAGTTTGTCATATGCATAAAAATGTAAAAACTTTACATTTGCATTTTACATATCATATGCATAAAAACTTTAAAAGTACTTAATGGGGCAGTAATTTACTCAGACGCCGAAAAGAATTGATTTAATTTTCAGAGTGCTTATTTTCTCTTAAGAATCAGCTTTTATGTGGAAAATGAAACATTTTAAACTAAAATTAATATATGTTTTATTTCTTGGGATTTTTTTTAACCAAGGCAAAAAAAAACTTTGAAATTATTAACTTTTAAAATATGATTGATTAATCTTTTTAATACATTCTAAAACAATCAAATGGTTAAAAGACACTATCCTGTAACTTAAAGGAAATAGAGTGGTTCAAATGTAGTCCATTTGGAATCCTGACCATAAAGCAGTAGATTGATCCAAATACATTATCAATTCAGTGCCACATATTTGTGCAGTTACTGGAATGAGATGAATGTTTTACTTTCAAAAGGGAAAAAGAAATCTAGATAGAATTAACTACACAGTAACTTAAGTGTTCTGTTTAGCAGAAGACACCGTAAATAAAGTTTGAAGCTAAATGACAAAGTGAGACAAAGCGTGAGAGTTGCAACACATATATCAAATCCAAGCTAATGTTTGTCATCTATAAAGAGCATATATACATTAATTAGAAAAGAGAAATATAGAAAATGGTCAAAGAGACAAAAGATTTTTTCATAGAAAAGTGTTGTGCAAATGGTTAATAAAACACAAAAAGATGCTTAACTAGCCTCATATACAAACAAGCCAAAATGAAAACATTTTTTCTATCAAATGGAGATTTAGCATTTGCAGTGTTGGTGAGAGTATGAAGGAGTTACTGTCTGGAGTAGTAGATTTTTCTTATTATATGCAATATCCTTTAGTTTAAGCTATATTAATAGTACCCATATGCAGATTCACTGAAGCATTTCTTGGTTTTTTTGTTTTGTTTCTTGGTTTTGGGTGGGTTTTTTGGGGAGGAAGATTATCCCTGAGCTAACATCTGTGCCAGTCTTCCTCTGATTTGTATTTGGGATGCTGCCACAGCATGGCTTGACGAGTGGTGTGTAGGTCCGTGCCCAGGATCAGAACCCACAAACCCGAGGCCACCAAAGTGGAGCATGCGAACTTAACCACTATGCCACCAGGCTGGCCCCCTAAAGTATTTCTAATAATTAGAAAATTCCTAATTTAAGTCAAATAGGTAAAATTCTCTGAAAGGCCTGGCATCTCTATCATCTCTGTTTTTTAAATTTAATTGACACTTTAGGGGCTGGCCCAGTGGTGTAGTGGTTAAGTTTGGTGTGCTTCACCTTGGCAGCCTGGAGTTTGTAAGTTCAGATCAGTTTGTAAGTTCGGATCCTGGGCGCAGACCTGCATTGTGCAGACCTATTCCACTCATGAAGCCATGCTGTGGTGGCAACTCACATAAAACAGAGGAAGATGAGCACAGCTGTTAGCTCAGGGCCACTCTTCCTCCCAGAAAAAAATTAAATAAATAAATTTAATTGACACTTTAATCTTACTTGCTAAAACTGCCCTGTAACTCTATCTGATGTAATAGTTCTTAAGGTCCACTGAAAAATTAATTTTCAACTCCATAAATCAATTTGTTCTAAATTTGAGTTTTAAGCACAGTTAAGAATTATTATTACTAGAGTTCACCTGATAAACCATGTGTGCCATAACTTATTGCAGAATAGCGTTAAATGTCATCGGTTAAACGTGTATTCCTTGTGAAGACTCTTGTTTTAGTTATTTGAAAAAAGACCTTCAATGCTTGGCAGTCCAGTCTGCTCAAACTGTTTTTTCTCTTTCTTAGGAGAGTTAATCTTGGTCTGTCCGGTGTGAATATATTGTGGATTTTTGGCGAGTAGTGGGTCGTTGAATTCCAAACATTTGGACTTTGATTTGGCTGAATCAGAAGTTGAATCTCAGCATCCGTGAGTCACTGCCACTTTTGAAAGAAGATACATATGAACGCTACAGACTCTTTAGATTTAACGAAAGTTTAGCTATTATGAAACTTGCTGTATCTTCTACACCAAGAGATAGTACCCTCGGTTTTTTACCGCATTTCAGATTTTTCAGTTGCCTACAAAACTGTGATCCTTCAGATTTTTGTTGACCCCAACAGTGTAGGTCCCCCTTAATTAAATAAGTTTGAGTCTCTTTTCATTGTAAACCCCAAATAAGAATCATCCACCTGATTCTTCCCTACAAAAATTTTCTTCAATCACATTATTTAGTATAAATACTTAAAAAGAAACAAGTTATAATTTATTTTTTATCTCTGTATTTCCACAGTGTTCAGCAAATAAGCCTATGTCCCACATTTAAAGAAATGAGATAAACTTCTAAGTAATGTAGTAGTTCATGTGTATTTTTAAAATATTATTGAAAGAGATTTGACAGTATTAGCGTTTAAAAATTCAACTCTTGAATTAAATTTAGTTGATAGAATTAAACTTTTGGGTCTTAGTTAAGAGGCTGAGGACATCAAGAAAATTACTGCTTTGGTTTAATAACTCAATTTCACTATTCCATAGTATTGTATTTTAAGAGTTCCCTTCCTTAAGATCATATGATACCTTGTCTGTTTAAATTTTTTAGATATGTTCAAAATTATCTGGAGAGTAAGAAGTTACCACATTTGTAAGTTTTACTTGACTCTCCATCCTTATTTTCTTATGTGTATATGCAGTATCTCTAAGGCTAGCTGGCATTTGTGTGTGTTTTCCAGATTGACATATTATTAGAGACTGCTTCCGTCACCTGGAAACAAGTGAAGCCAGTATCTTCTGAGCCACTCATGTCATTATTGTATATGCAGCCTATTTTGTATCGTTTGTAAATTCCATTTTTCAAAAAGTTGTTCCTGTTTTTTAAAAGTTAAATGTCCAAAGGAAAGGAAGTTTCTATCTTTTGATTGCTTTTGATATGTTTTAAATGTTTGCTATGATATTTTAGAAGAAAATATCAATTAAATGTGTTAAGTATAAAAGCATGTTAGAATCTATTTCAAAAGTTATTGAAGGTGTCATGGAATAACAATTGTTAACGTTGTTAAACTATTCATTTGCATATTCTTTATTAAAAGTAATAAGGAGAAAAATTTTAACAATACTTAAGACAAATTTTTTTTTCTTTATAGGACTTACGGCAGCTTTTAGTCCAAAAATTCAAAGCTATAATATTTTATTTTTTAAGTGCCTGTCAAAAAATACAATATGCAATATAAATATACATGTCAAAAGAGTTGGGAGATGTATGAAGAAAGAAAGGGTGTTTTGTTTGCACACTGAATCTAGTATGGGTTCCTGTACTCGGGGGAGCTATCCTATATTAACTTGTCCTCACAAATGTTTGAGCCAGTTTATACTTTAATATGGCTTTTATTAAAAATATTTTGTGAATTAGTTTGAATTTATACTTTGGGAAGACAGTACACTGCAAATATGGTAAATTTTTTGGTCCTTGTGTTAAAATGAGTAAATATCAACTTTTCTCTAATTAAATGTTATTTATAGTATATTTTACACAGGTTTTTCTTTTCATTGCTTGACTCATTCTTGTGGGATCAAATCCACTAATCTAGATTATTTTCACTGTATCATTTATCCTTTTCTTCTCTGTGAATATCAGCCTTTACTTCAGCCAAATTCGTCTTAGGGGCATACTTAGGAGTCTAAACTTTAGTTCTTACTGAGACACAAAACATGCTGTGTTGCTTGGCTTCCTCAAACTGATAGGCACTTAGAACTGATATTTTAATGGTGAAGACACGCACATGGGGTGGCACTTCTCGTCTCAGCCGTGTACCATAAATCCTTCAGTGCGGGCATCCTCACAGGTCAGGCTGTGGTCCCCTGTGTCACTGTCTGTGCTTTTCCTCACAGATCCCCTTCATTCCGCGGTTTCAGTCATCACCACTCTGCGTTTGATCCCCAAGTTCATCACCAACCGTAATGTCTCTCCTGTGCTCTAGTGTTACATTTACTGTGACCTGTCAGACATTGCCGCTTGGATGTCCTGCAGACTCTCTGTGCCTGGAACTGAATTCCCATTTGCTGAAACCAGCTCCCTCTTCTAACATCCCTTTTTCTGTTCATTGTGCTACCGGTTGCCCACGCTCAAAACTCCGGTGTCATCTTTGATTCCTTGAGCTCCCTGGGTCCCCAATCCAATCAGGCAGCAAACCTCATCCATTCTTTCTTAACACTGTCTCTTGCAGCTGTCCCTTTCCAATTCTGCTGCCACCGTGCTCATTTACACCCTTATCAGCTCACACAGGACTACTACCACAGCCTGATTAATCTCACAGCTTCCTGATGGTTGCGGTGCTTCCAGATTTTCCCGTTCATCCTGCACATTCTCTCCAAATTCATCTTCCTAAAACACCTGTTTGATCATTTCATTGCCCTGATAAATTCCTTAGCCTGACATTTAAAGTCCTCCACAATCTGGCCGCAAGCTAGCCTCTCCACCCAGAGCCCAGCCTCCAGTCGGTGCAGGCTGCTCCTTGCTGGGCTCTCTGCACGCTACCTCCTGCTCACCCTGCTCACACTCTGGGGACGCCCCTCCCCCTCTACAGTCTACCCCTGCCTTAAGACTTCACTCTAATTAAACCTGCTATTTTTTGGAGCTGATCCTGACCACTCCAGCTGGGGTTCTCCCCCAGGGACATTAGCTCGGTGCCCCGTTTTTGGCACTCAGCAACCATATGAATGGATTCAGAAGTGACATTTAGTCTCTCTGACAGTGTGTCCTCATATCTTGTCTTGTCTCATATAAGAACTGTGGTTTCTACTAGTCTGAACTGTGCTGCTGTTGAGGAAGACTTGATGATGGCTACAGCTACCTTTTGGGAAAGGCTTGCATTCTGCTCTTTGAGTGATACCTTTTGAGCAGCCAAGCACCCTGGCTTTCCTTTTGTGGCTAGGCCCAAGGAGGAGGAAGCACTCCCAGAACTGGACAGCCACAGCAGGGGGACTGCCTGAAAAGTCAAGGGGTTAGGAAAATGCTGCAGCCAATTCCATGTGCTCTTGGTCCTGGGGGTCTTAGTGAGCTGGGGTAAGGCTGTTGCACCTGGCGGTACATCGGCCCAGCTGCTCCAGGGTCCACTATGACAGACCAGGAGAGGCCCTGGTCCACCCATCCCTCCAGGTGGCTTCAGTCACAGCTGCCCCCTGGCTGTGGGTAGGAGCAAAAGTGCATGAGGACAAGCAGCAGAGGACTGGGCTCTCTGGCAGGAATGCTTTGGGGGAGGATCTGGGTGGGGTGGGGGCCTTTTCTGCCCAGTTAGAATGAGAGGGGTTTGCACAATCAGCACCTGTGCTTTCTTGGGCCCCAGTGACATTGCCACACCTCACTGGGTACGCCAGTAGCTTTCTGCTCGGTCTTCAGGATCATTAGGCAGTAGCTCTGAGCCACATCTCTAATTTGATCCCTGGACAGTCATCAGTAATTCCATTTCTACACTGAATGAACTGCACTGACCTGGGGGGCAGCTTATGGATTCTACAGAGGGTGCCCCTCAGGCAGGGTTAGGAAGGTCCAGTACAGCAGCTGCGGATGGAGAACAGCCTCCCGTGCACCCAGCACCCTGTCCCCCTCGCACAGCTTAGACCCCAAAGATATTTCGTAGCAAAGCCACATGCAAGCACTCCTAGGCACTGCTGTCGATGAAATTTAAAGCTGTAAGTAAATGCTTTCATGCCCCCATACAAAGTGAATTTTCCAAAGTCAACCTGGCTGGAAGAGCCACTGGCCTGAATGGGCCGAGACTTGGGAGGACTGAGCTCTGTCGCTGATTGGGGCAGGGCAATTAACCTTTTACACTGTGATTTTTGATTATAAGATAAAGATACTCTTCATACCTCAGAGATCATTGAGAAGCTAAAACTGAAAATAACGGGTGACAGTGCTCTTAGGTAAGGAAAATATGGCTTTAAAAAGTCTTTTCAAAATAACATGTTAGTGTAGGGCTGGCCCAGTGGCGCAGTGGTTAAGTCTACACGCTCCACTTCAGCAGCCCAGGGTTCACTGGTTCGGACCCCCAGTGCGGACCTATGCACTGGTTAGCAAGCCATGCTGTGGCAGGCGTCCCACATATAAAATAGAAGAAGATGGACACAGATGTTAGCTCAGGGCCAATCTTTCTCAAAAAAAAAAAAAGAAAAACCGTGTTAGTGTAAAACTAAGAAATGGCCCCTTGGGCATTGTAAAGCAACTATCCCATTCTTGGATCATGCTGAGATACAGATCTTCATGGCCTTGACACACTCACACCGCACCCCAACCGTCCTAGCCCAGCTGTATCTGCCTTCTGCTCCCTCCTTCCCCAGCCCCAGACCTGGCCATCGCCCAGTCGTAGACAGTACCACCCTTGTATCCTCAAGGCTGGGCTTCCGGTCTACCAAGAAAACACTGTCTCCTTCCTTTCTCATTTCTCAACCAGAAGGAAAAAATAACAGCCCTGAATCAGACTCTGCTTTCATGAACTGTATCCCATAGGAGGAAAGTCAGAAGGTGATGATCTGCTCTGTTGGGGGCAAAACTTGTTTTTTCAGGAGCAGCAGCCAGGCGTGATTCTTCCTCAAACACACGGTGTGTAGACTGGAGTCAGGCAGCTCTGTGGTAGTTTTGGCCCAGAGTACAGGCATTGGCTTACTGGGCTCCAGCTCCAAAGAAAGGCCCCTTGTGCTCCTCAGGGGGAGGAGTGTCGTCCACGGGACACCCTGAGGGGCAGAGGAGGAGTCCAGCTGACTCGTGAAAGTGAGACTTGGCAGAAGGAAGTCTGAACTGAAGCCACCAGCCCCCAAACCTGGTGGTTTGAAAAGGTGTTATATGGCTTCTATCTCAAGTTAGTCAACCACCCTTAAAAACAAATTCAGTACAATGCTCTGCTTCCGGTTAAGTGTCCTGCACGAGTTCTTTCAGGTGATTTTTATGCCATATTGAAAATTCCTGGAGTTAACTACTATAAAGTGGTGGTTAGACTCCACTTAGACCAAGTGCCTTGGATAGAACTTGGGGGCAAAGTGCACATCCTAGAATACAGCGTCTCTTAAATATGACACCAGATATTTTCTCTGTAGCCAGAGAAATGATCTTTCGTTTAAACTACCGTATCGTCCGAGTAAATTTCTACTTCTTCCCACCTCACACCTCTATTTCCCCACACATACCCTCTCCCCACTCACCCTCCCCCATGGTTTCTGTCGGTGAGGGATCTGCAGCTGCTGTGGGCTTACCCTCCTGACCCTGTCCTGGCAGGTGCAGTGGTGGGGCAATGCTAGAATGAATCCCCAAGGAAGGCTGCAGGTCTCTCAGGGACGGGACTCTGGTAAAGGACGGAGTTCCATTAGACTGTGCTTCCTCCAGGTCCCTGAGGGCAGGTGCATGTTAGGTGCTCAGTAGATATTTGTTGCATTAATAATTAGGGTAAGTAGACACAATTCACTTGAAAGGCAATCCTTTTCTTTTTTGGCCTGGAATTTGGGGTAGGTGTGTGTTCCATGCTGAAGACCATGGAGAGCTCCCTGGCTGGCACGTAGAGGTGTGGCAGAGGAAGAGCAGCAAGGAGCCGGCAGTTGGCAGTTGGATCTAAACTTGTAGAAGTGAAGACCAGAGAGCCCACTCTCCACTTCCATGCATTCCTCTTTGGTGGGCTCTATGAGAATTGATTCAATAGGAAAGAGTACGTATATGCCTGGGGCAGAGAAGCCCTCCAGCTACATCTTTGCCGGTAGTTTCTCAGTAGATACAAAATTGGTCGCATCTTATAAACCCTCAGAGCTGGAGCTGTATTGGGGTGGATGCAAGGTGCGAGGGCTGGGAACACCCTGATACAGTCACGGGATGCCATTATCTTCTTCCCTGAAACACTAGAGTTTTGGGGTGCTCTTCACCCAGCCATTTCTAACAGCTCCTTCCTGTCTTAAGATCTCTGCTCAAATATCACCTCCTCGGACCGGTTCTTGCCACCCTAAAATGGCGCCCCCATCACTCACTACCCCCCTTACCCTGCTCAGCTCTTCTTCTTGCCCATATCTGAGATTTTGCTTACCATCTGCTTCCCACACCAGCATCCTCTCTAGAGATGGGATACTAGTCTCCTCTTCCTGTTTGAAGAACTGAACATTAAAGGGCAACTATGTGCCAAGTGACTCTTCATAAATTTCTGTTGTAAAATGATAACAAATAGCTTGGTTTTCTGACTCCTTCAGATCTTCGTCTAAAGGTTGAAAACTTCTGCTATGTTACAGATTAAAAATACAACTCAGAAGAAGGGACACACACCAACTGTTTCTTAGGGAAGGCTCCTGGATGGCGGCAGACACTTCCAGGTACATTCCATTAGCCAGCACTTAATCACATGGACACAGCTAGCTGCAAAGGAATCTGGGAAATGTAGTTTTTCTTGGCCATGGCCATGTCAAGCTAGCTAATAATCCTAGCACTATGGAAGAAGGGGAGGATGGGTATTAGACAACAGCAGCAGTCCCCTTGAACAACTTAACTCTCACCCAGCACT